CAGGTCAGCCTAACCCATTCTTCCTGTGAAATGGAAGAACTGAGGGAAAAAAGTGAGGAAATGCTTTTTAATTCTATTATACAGTGACTGTGTGGGAGGATAAATGCAGACCTTTTCCCATGAGCAACAAGGAGCCATAAAGCTGGAGCCAGCAGCATTCCCTCGTTCTCCTGGCAGTACCTACATCTAACCTGCTTATTCATACTCAGGGCAGCTACTGGCCTTCATAAAGGGAAGACAAAGCTAAATTCTTTTTTTATAAATATATTCAGAAAGTTTAGAAATCAGTCCAGATGAGGGAGTATTTCTTAGGTATGCCATTAACCATCACTTTTAAAATACCGAAATAAACAGAAGCATGCTGATAATATTGTAGTAAATCTCATTGCCAGCAAAGTAAATTCTGAATTCTTAGAAAAAATTTCCTGCTATAAATATATATATATATCAAAGAAGTAGTCTATTGGACTTGGACAAATCAGTCAATAGTGTTTCCTTAGGAATTCTGTGAGTCACTTCTTTAAGAGCCTTCCCCCACGTAGTAATTTCTGTAAAGTTTTACCATGTTTGGTAAATACAAGGGCGCTGTACACACTCTTCAGCAGCTATGGAGCCATCATATCCTGCTGATAAATGTGTAATTTATGTGCTGTTTAAGAAAGCTTATGTAAGCATGGATTGAATAGTCCTATTTTGTGTTTCCATTTCAGTATGCTGCAGAGAAATCTTGAGTTTGAGCAAAAAATCTTGAGTCTGAGTATTTCACAAAGCTATTTCTTAAGTTTTTTGTTCTCTGGTTCAATTACATCCAAAGCCAAAATTCACAAGGTACATGCAAATGTTTGAGTTGGTTATCTGACTGAGGACCTCTGAAGGGTTATCTCCTTTCTCTCTGAGAATTTCAAGCTCTTTTTTTCTTTATCCAGTACCATTCTCAAAATTCATCATTTGAAGTTAGTGACAAGACAGATACAGCAAATTGGAAGGTCCATGGGAAGGATCTTGTAGCACAGTAATAATTTCACACTTTTAGTGTAAGAAATCTTTAAATAGCAATACAGAATTACTTCATTTGGTGATAAATCCCTGGGGCATAGCACCTTGAATGCCTGCATCTAGATGAATCAGGTAATTTTATGGACTGCCTGGAAATTTCAGATGACAATTAAAACCATGTAAAAATTACATGCACTAGGAAGCCAAACTAGTCTTATCAGCTTTCAAAGACTTGCAAGACAGATTCTTTCCTCTCATTTTTCTCATACTTGTTCTTTTTTTCACTCTCTGTGAAGAGATAAAGCATACATTAATTTTGAAGATAGTCTAATGGCATACCAGAGTAACATTTACCTGCTCCATGTACAGAGGGTTTCAAGAGCATTTAAAAAGGAACACAGCACAATCTATTTTTCTCCATTTATTGGAAAATTTAGAGCCAAATTTTGTGACAGGGGATAAACAGTAAGATCTTGAAAGTCTTCTAGCTTGGGCTGAAGAATGTGGGATGAAGGGGGTTAATAGATAAAGCACTGCAACTGCACTTTGGAGATCAGTAATTGGGAAGTGAAAACCCCTGCATCATCACAACCAAAATTAGATAAATTTTCTTTTCAGATGATAAAGGTTCATCACTGACCTGTTCTTGTGTTGCATCATTTGTGCAACTGCTTGTATTCCTATTAGTGGTTAGGAGTATTTACAGCCTATCTACCTCATTTTACAGCACCTTGTATAAAATTCCCTGTACACAAATCCTGCAGAATAGGTCAAATTTCAGAATGTGCTTTTAAAAAGGTATAAACTCCATTGCATGGTGATTATCACATTGACTCTGTAACATAATTTTTTTTTAATAATTAAACTGCTCAGATTAGTTTTACCCTCTGCTTGATTGCTTTATGGGTAGCTGTAATTAACCTCTACTGGTGTTAATTATTCACAAAGTGGGATCTTGGAGCTGCTGACCATGCAATTTGTTAAACAACTCAGGAGGTGATATGGCTTGCAGAGTGTTTCTATACACTCTTCAACTTACAGCACAATGTGAAGTCAAAGTGGTGAGAGTTGTGCTTTGAAAAAAGTTGCAGAATTTGTTTGCTCAGTAAAGTTATTGCAGTTTATTTGTCTTGGAGTCAAAATGAGTAGAGGTGTCACCACAATATCTCCATAAGGGTCCTGCTGCGAAAAACTTTTGTAGAAGTTCATCAAGCCAATTAAACATGATTTAATTCCTCAAAGGACTACTTTAATGAAGGCCCAGTTCCATTAAGAGCCTGTAGACAGAACAGGAACACCACTCCATGTAGTCCCTCTGCACTGACTTTACAGATGCTGGCAGAAACCTCACAAAATACAGCACAGTGAGGACACAGGTGCAATCTCTTTCGTGTTGTAAAGGTGTTGGTATCTCAATAGAAAGCTGCTCAGGGAGTTATCCTAGGTAAAGATGAAATTTTATAGGTCAGTTTGTAAGATTTTTTAGGAGAAATTCTCACTCCATTACCCTATGGAGGATTAACTTCTGTTTGACAGGGATCAAATCAGTTTATCAGTGTACAGCTTCTCCAAGCTGCAAGCAATGCTAGAATTAGAACTGCAAATAATTCTACGAACAGACTAAAGCAATTAGACTGAAGCAGCCCATTTTCTGTTAAAATGAAGATAGTTTAACTGGTTAAAATGTGTGTTTAAATTGTGTTAAAACAAAACATCAAGCTTGTGATTTGTTTGTAAACAAGTGTAATAAAGAACTCAGGATAGAAGCTCTCCAGTAACAATTGGCAGCTCAAGGATCAGTCTCTATCAGAAGGGCTAGAGCTTGTGGGGCCTCTGAAAATATTTGTTCTTTGCTAATCACTTTATGGAAATATGGTCTTTATCTTCAAGTTCTATTGGATAGGAGGAATAGCTGGGAGTAAATATGTTGGGTTTGAGATGCTGGTCTTGTGACAAATTCTTATGGTCCACGTGGCCATTTAGATTTGTAGAGTTCCTTGGTGCAAAGAAAGCTCTATAGAGTTAGTCCCTTACTTGGACACTTTCTTGCCATTGAATATATCAAGCAATAACTTGATAGATTGATGTTCTTTGCATACTGACTAAATTGCTTCAATATCAGTAGAAAAATAAATATCAATGCTATATTAATATCATTTGATCGTATTACAAAATTTAATTTCACTGATGGTTTCATGTAACTTGAATTAAAATGCCCAATACTATAGTAGGACTAAGCCAATATAATATAAAAATTGATTCAGAAAGATGTATTTGTAATTTTTAAAATATATTTTAAAGTATTTGTGAAGCAAAAGGTTAAAAACTGTTATTTGAGCCTGTGTTGCCGGTCTCCCCATAATACAGTCTTCCTCCTTTTTCTGCCAACCCTCTCATACCTGCAGACAGTTACCCACAAATAAGTGTAGAATTCTCTCTTCTGTGAGTTTGTGGGCTTTAAGTTGGGTAACTCTTTGGGGGCTCCCCTGGTAGGAGAGGCACTTCTGGAGTACTTTTGTGTTAGGAACAAGAGATGTATTGGAATTTTTGGTCTTCAGCTTTTGTTTATTGTTATCTTATCAAAACTTTACTACATTGTCTGAACCTAGACTTTGTATGTATGAAAACAGCACAAAAATTGCTAACAATTTCCTGTTGTAAGGTTTTTTCTAGGTCTAATCAAAAACTAAACTACCCAATTAAGAAGTGACACCTGAATTATTTTCCTTTCTAGCTCAATAACTGACCCCTAAAGACCTGAAATGTAGATTTTTCTACCCAATTACAAGATACCACCTAAACCCAAGAAGGAAGAGGAAGAGAGAAGACAGGAATTCGAGACAACACCCTATATCCTCCATCTTGAACTCCTCTATAACATACTAAAGATCCTAAAACTTCAATTTGTCACTCATGTGACATATTATACCACTATCTACAATCTCTACAATCTATTTCACACTTTTGTGGTTTCTAGTTTACCTTGAGGCTTTGGAAGTTTTCTCTATGAATGAGGGTCAAAGTCAGTGTTTTCCTGGGAGTCAGAGCACCCCAGGGCAGACAGGTGGATATACCCCTTGCCCTGGGTTCCCACACTCAGTTCCATGGTTCCAGCTAAAGCTTCCTAGTGGTTTGAAATCCTAAACACTGCCAACACTGTCCTCCTGCTCTCCTGTTGATCAGTCTTTTCCTGGGAAATTGTACTCACTGCATAAAAGAGGGGGCAGTCTATGGGCAGGGCTGGTCTTTTTTTCTGTCAGCTAGAACTAACAGCCCAAGGCTAGAACTTGTGTTTAAGTGATCTACAATACCAGGTACTGGTTTTTAGCATGTTGCTGTTTTTTTATATATACATCACATACATAATACATATGAATTTCAAGAATTACATAAACAGTGTTTACAAAGTGTTACAGCAGATATGATTTCCCCAAGGCACCTGTCAGAGGTTTCTAAGCAGAATTTTAATTTACCTTCTGTATCTTTGAGGTTTTCAGATGGTTTGTAGCATGTAATAAATTGGCTGGGCCTGCTCTGAAGGTGTAAACACCTTTGTCAGTAAAACTTGGGAATCCACAATCGGCCTTTAGGGCAAGGCCTAGATACTGGAATCTTTCTATATCACCTTTACAAAGATAACTAAATCCCATCTTAGAAGCCCTTAATGTGGAAAGCACCCCAATGGAAATACAGCTTTCTTCAGGAACTCCCTCTGTCACCAAGCTGCCCAAGTGCTGGGGTGCCAGAAGTTGTGTACCTCCAGGGTTAAGTACTCTGCTTTTTTGTTGGATTAGGGAGGAAGGCCTGATGCAGCATTCCATCAGCATCAACAAGCCTGATCATATCTACTTCCACAACTATTTCAGGAATCTTCACACAGCAATGTCAAGCATAGCACAGCCCAGCTCTGGGCTTCAAAGACAGAGCAGTTGGCTTTAATCTACAAGTAAAATAACATTAATAAAGCGAAAAAAAAAAAAAAAAAAAAAAAAAATAGCTTTTCATCCAGCTTGTTAAACTGTATTTCAAGCTTCTATAGTCAGATTCTTTAGCCAGGGAAATTAGTTTTCTTACATGATATCCAGGAATGTAAACATTTCTTTATGCAGAGTCTTATATGTGAAATATGCTATTAGATCACTGTCTAGTGCCTTTAATTGTCTTTCCAACAGAGCTTTGGAGAGGAGTTTTAGTTTCATCCGCTTATAAGTCATAAGTCCTCCACAGACCTTGCTGAATTTTGTCACTGAAAAAGAGGCCAAGATTTCACCTTGATCTTTTGATTAGTAGTTTAAAAAGTTGAATATATTACCTAAAGTTGATTTATTTGATTATTAATTTAATATTTCCAGTTCATGTTAACCTTGAATGTAAATTTAAGTTTCAAGCTTTTGAAGCAGTTTTGACAAAAAAAAAAAAAAATCACTATTTTTGATAGTCATCTCTCCTCTCATGGCTCCAAATCCAATCCATACTTGGCCAGAAATCTTTACTTTGTCAATACAATTCTGAATGAGCATAAAAAACAGAAATTGAAATTCTGTATCAGCAATACCTGTACCAAGATGTGTCACAAGTTTATTCTAGTCTGCCATAATGGGAAATGAGATCTGAACAAATTGTTTTACAAGGGAACTTCAAAATATTCCACATACAAATAAAGAAAACAACAGGTGGTAATTGCAGGTGTTTAGGACATACGATATTGGTCCTTGGTTTTCAGCTATTTTAAACATGAAAATGTACTTTCTGTAACTTTTTTATTTATGTTGCCTTTTCCTACTATACAACTGACAAGTTCATCAAACAAAAATGCTGCAACTCTTCTTATCTGGGATGTTTAATATCTCACTTATTTGAGCAGAATCCAAATTTAAGCCTAACCATTTTTTTAGTAGTTTTCAATCATCAACAATTTTATTAAAAGAATAAAGACATTTTTTTAGCCTACCATGTAATTTAAGGGAAGTAATTAAGTATATTACAATAAATTATTCAGTTTCCTTACCTGGGAGATGCTCAGGCAGCTTTCTGTCTTTGCTGCTCTCACACCCCTGAGTCACACTGGTGTAAATGCTGGTGCTTCATGTTTGCATTTAGAAACATTCTCTGTGTGTATAAATATTGGATGGAAAGGAAATAAAAACAAATATCAGGCTGAGTTCTTGTCCTGAAAAGGAATAAAAATTAAACTAAGCTATCCCCAGAGCCCGCAATTTCATCTTCAAACAATGAAAGTCAAACTACACGATTATTAAAAAGCAAGCTTCTTCTGAAAAAATTTTATGCATATTTTAATATTTATAAGTATTTTATGAATAGGTGATGTAAGAGACAAAAATATTGCAAAGAAACTGAGTCCACCTCTCAAAGTAACAGTTATTTCACTGCCATTTAAACAAATATTTTAATGCTTTGCTATCAAACCAATCTGTGGTTTTTTACTTCACAATTGCTCTTCTATCAATTCATACCATTTAACCTCTTAATAAACTTTTCAAAAATCACTGATGGATATTAATTTCCTGCCAAAACTCTCTCCTCTAATTTTAACAGACAGAAAGGTGAATTAGTCTTGACCCTTTCCCAAAGTCTGAGCCAGCCCTTTAATGATAAAAAAGGAAGAGGAGAGCAAAATTTTTTATCTTCCAGTATGGCATGTTCATGTCAGGCATATCCAGTCCAAATTAACTTTATTTTAATGATATTATTTTTGTGTCACTGCAAATCCTGATTGCTCTGTGGTTGTTTAAATAACAGAAATAGAAATCTATTAAACAATATATTATATTTGGGGGAGGTGGATGAAACCCCAAACAGAGTTAAATGTCTACATCTGCATGAAATGGCACAGTTCAGGTAGAAACAGTTTTGCACCTCCTTATTGTTGTTATAGACCTTAAGAGATGGGAATAGTTTAATATATGATGCCTATGTTGTACTGATTGAAGACATTATTTGTGGTTTATTTAAATATTGATTAAAAATATTAGAAAGGAAACCTTAGAAATAGATAATAAATCTCCAAGAAACAGGGGAAACAGCAGCACCATGAAATAAATGTGTGGTCAGCTTCTTCCATGCTAAAATTAACAGGAACTAAATCAACAGCTTTAGAGTGTTTAAGATGTATATCCTGCCTGCCAAGGCTTAGCTGCTGAATTAAATCTATTGCTGAGGCTGTCCAGTGTGTCTATATACTATGCTAATCATAAAATAACAACCTGGATTTTCAAGGGAGCTTCAGTGTGACTTTTTAACTGTGGTCACTGCTTTAAGCAGATAAATATCCTTGACATTTATAAAGGGTTGTCTACACTGCTTATTAAAGCCACCTCTGGCCCCAGACCAGGGGCTGGGAGACCTGTGCTCATCTGGGGCCTCTGCAGTTGACCTGAAAGTTGATCTCAGCCACTTCTCCCCAGTGTTTCTACTTTCTGAACACTGTTTTCTTCCATGGGTTTTGGGACTGTCAGTACTATAAAGCTTGTGCAGAGATGAAGGTTGTGGATGATAACCATAAATTGTGAGAAAAATTGATTTTATCGTTTCTATCAAAGCTGCTTAGAAATGTTTTGACAGAATCTGATCAGATTAATTAAACCCAAGTTTAGGTGAATACAGTAAAAATTAAGCAGTTGGTCTCATTTTGACCAAAGCTGAATGAAAAACACAAATTACTAAGAGACTGGAAGTTGTGTTTCCAAAATCCATTGATGGGTCATGTCCAGAAAGTCTCACAGATCTCATTTAAGCTCTCTGCAGGCTGTGTCTGCTTTAAAAAGTTAGGATAAATCAGCCTCACTACAAATAAGTACATACAGTTGGCTAGCCAAAAACAGTAGAAGAAAAAAGAAAATAGCTCACAGTTTAGAAAAAAGAGTAAATTGTAGGCTTTTTTCAGTAGTAAGGTTTAAGAGGTGAGTGTTCTGCCAGTACACATATGATACTAAAATAATGGCACTAAAAGCAGCAGTGCCCAAACCCTTGGCACACTTCTGTCAATACATCTCCACCAATTCAGAGTTTCTGGTGGTTGGGCTCAGTGTTTTAATCTAGCCATTGTCAATTCCACTTCTTTTTTTATTAATCATACCAGTGATGTCTGAATAACTAACTCCAGAGAAATTGGATTTAAGGGTTGGTACTAAAGAAAAGAATGTACAAGTACAAAACTGATGAGCAGAAAGATATATACTGGTTCTTTTTAGGTTAAATGTATTGCTGCATACACCTTCAAGGTATCTGTGAGCAATTTAAGTGTGTTTTCTGGCAGCTGTCACTGGTGTCATCCATCAGAACAAGAGCCCTGGCCAGTGACACTTTGCTGAAGTGCTGAAGGGATATGGGTTTTAATTCTGAGCAACTTTATATGACAAATAGTGGGACAGATGAATGCCAGAAAAAAAAGAACCATGATAGAGCTTGCACAACTATAAATAATTAAGCCATTTTTCTTGTAAAAGCAGCAGCTGGGCTGTTATTGTAGTTACTGCACAGAATTCTTCCCAAATTCAGTGTACTGTTTTACTACCTCTCTTCAAGCAAATCACCATGGTTGTCATTGAGAGGGAATTCAGGGATTACAAGCACTGGACTTCTGCTGGGATCTGAGATGTGTTGGAACACCTTTTTGCTTTGCTTCCTCTTGGCCTCCTTTTTTATTCCATACAATGAAGCACCTTGATGATACACTCAAGAAACCATACTTGTATCATTAGAAATGTGCTGTGAAGATGCAAGGCAGGGGAGAACTACAATTATTTGCCTGAAAACATCCATAATTTCCTGAAGAAGAGAAAGATTAATTTTGGGATACCTGGCAGCATCCACATTTGACACAGGTGTCTACCCCTGTGTTAAATGCAGACCTTAAGGTCCTTCATCTTAAGCTGCCTGACATTTTTTCCCTCCTCTGGATATTGTACTTTGTCCTCTCATTCAGCTCTTTGGCTGCCAGGTTCAAAATCAAACAGATTTACTTAGAAATTTAATAAACAGATCTTTGTTAACCACGTTGACCTAGACTTGATTACAGTAAACTCTAAACTCCACCGCAGATTAGGAAACGTCCATGTGACCAACCTGATAGGCTGGATGAAGCAGTGGTGATAACAACATATGACTCCAAGGGCATTTTAATTTACATCAGCATGAGGAAAAACCATGACCAAAACAAAGAATGACTGAATGATACTGTGCTCAGCAACTCCTCCCAGGCTCCGTTTTTATACCAGGGCTGTTGGTGCTGTTGCTGACCATGCCCTGTGTGATGCCATGAGGAATGTGGTTGTTTCCGTGGCCATGGAATGTTTTAACTGAGCGGTGCAGACACAGATTGCACTTTCACCCAGAAAGGGGAGCTTTTAACACAACTGGAGATTCTCTGCAAGTACATCTCTAAAAAGAAATAATTGAAGGCATCACTGGTCTGGTATCAGCTGGAGTACAGCATGGATAGTAGCCTCAGGCTTGGTTTTCTATACTTAGAACTTAAAACTAGAAAATTGCTGAGCTGCACACTGTACCATCACCTAAAGGTTTCCACTGCTGCAGTAGGAGACAGTTTGCTGCATTCCCTGGTGGCCTTTGCCAGGGAATGCAGCACAGAGGACCCTTCTCTAGCACTCAGAAATCTAAGAAGTTTACAAGATTCTGTCACACAGGGATTTCATTTGAAGCCTGTACAAGAAGTTATATTTCCCTAAAATTTGTAAGACCGTTTTTCCTACCCCATGAGTCTTTGATAAGGTGTCACAGTTGGAATGTTATACTCTATGGCACTATATTAAACATGCAGATTTTTAGTTTAATCCTGGAAGTCCTCAGTAGAGAAAGATGCCTTGCATAAAAGCAAGTATTTCACCTGGAAAATAAAACAAATTGCTAAAGATAGTGGGGGAGTGGGGAGAAGAGAGAAAAGAGAAGGAACAGACCTAATGATTTCAGCTGCCCAGTTAAAGGAGGACTGATGTTTAGGAATTCTGAGAAAACAGCTACTGATTCTGAAAATCATAACCTACCATATAATTTTAGCAATTTCCTCATGAGTATTGGATGCAGAGTTTATTATAATGTATTTTGCTTTTAACATAATAAGCAATTAGAATTTTTGCTTGTTGAAAGCATTCTGTTTTGTTTCTCTCCTGAACTAAATTTAGATTATTGGCACTCTTATAAGGAAAGCTGTAAGAGAAATTGATTAAAACAAAAGGAATGTCATTTTTAACATACGATGCTTGAGTCTTCCTTTGAAATCATATATATTTTAATAAAAAATCAATGCGTGTTTAAAATACCCAATGTGCTGATTTATTCCACACAGAAAATATGCTGTAGCCTATTCTGATTTATGTTAAGTAAGTAAAAACTGGAAATTCTGTCAAGTTAGAAGCTGCATTTTCTGATTTTCATTCTGAATTTAAATAGTAAAAATAGCAGGAAAGAAATTCTTTCCCTAGAAGAGAAAAATAAATTTCAGATATCTACAGTCTGTAGGTCTGCACAAATGAAGCTGCCTCCCTGTATACCAGAGTGGCAGAAAGGATGTGCTTTTAGGTTGGTTTGTTCCAGTTTGTGCCCAAGGACTCGGTGTGACCTTTAAGTTAACTTCTGAGATGGGGTGAGGGCAAGAGGGAAAGGCCTGGGCAACGGGGTTGCTGTGGAGGGAAGGGAGCAGCTTCTATCTGGTGATGTGTCCAGCACGGAAAGGTGTTGGGGGATGTGAAGCTATGACAGCGGCAGAGGAAAGAGGAGGACCACAAGCAAAAGTCTCAAGGTGGCAGGATGAGGGAGCCTTTGCTTTGGGTTTCTGTGGCTATAAAACCCAGGAAGCTGCAGGGAGCTGCTGAACTAGAAAATAATACTGGAGGGATTAACTTACCTTTCAAGGACAGGAGCAAGAGGAGTGTTTTTCAAACCTTTTTAGTACTTCTTTCCACTATATTTCCTATTTAATCTGACACCTTGTTATAGTTTATTATTTTACTGTTCTGATAAATATGTTTTGATATCCTTTGGCACATTTGCTTAAAAAAGTGGGAAAAAAAATGTGTGAACAGTTGGTGGTTGAGCAGGTGGCCAGAAAAAAACTGTTTTTCCTGAGATGTGCTCAGTTTTTATCCCCATCACCCTCTGAGACATCATGGCAAATAATACCAGCACCAAGTAATACTCAAGTCACCCAGGCTAAAAAGTAATAATGGCTATCAAACTCTGAATTGGAACTTTCTATTCCTCAAACTCAGTAAATGAAGGTTTTTCCACATGAAACTGTGAAATACCTTCAGTTCAATCCTTCCTCTCTCCCAGCTGTCTTCCTTTTGTTCCCTCCTTTCTCTCTTGCTCAAACACTGTGTGTACTGTACATGGTGTGTTCCCATTCTTGCCTGCAGAATGATGGTCCCTTAGAAACAACTCCAGGTCCTTCCTTTGTGGTACCAGGATTCCATTCCAAGCAACCCCATATAGAATCCTCAGAAAGAAAGGTGGCTTGGTAAGAGCCCACCTCACCTTTGAGAACACCCTAAATGTCTGATTGTTCTTGGTAATAATGGTTTCAACATTCTTTCTGTACCTCTGGAAACGGAGAAAAGGAAAAAGAATTTTTTTTTTTTTTTTTAAAGAGAGGACTCCCATAAGGAAACCAGCTTATCTGCTTGATTTATAGTAGCCTGAAAAGTCTGTACAAAGAAAGAACCTGGTAAACAAAAGAGACATCTCAAGGTTGTGCATTTATGGTTCAGTTGTGCTGAGATACATAGTTACAAGCGAGTATATAGGGGAATTTAGCCTGGCAGAGAATACCACCTTACTAAATTATGCTTTAGGCTGGATCTCAACATCTGTGACCTCTCCAATGTCCTTGGCACCTTCTTTAAAGATTCAGGCTCCCCAGATTTCCATGAGAATTAGTAACTAGTTCCTGTGGTGAGGCAGTACCCTACACAAGAGCAGCTCAGCATTCGGAGGAATATCACAGAAGTGCACAAACCCTCTTAATTTGTGCCACTGATGTGACAGCAGTGGGAGGATCCCACCTGGCAGCAGAGAGGTCAGCAACATGTTCGGTTTGTTGTATTCTTTCCCCAGTTACTTAGAATGTCTCTCAGTCTGAATAACAGAGTGCAGTTGTCAGAAACACGGTCTGTGCCCAGCAACAAATGCCACAGAGAGGATGGCAGCTCCTCCCAATAAAGTGACAGTCTTAGGAATAGCAGCAGCCATGAAGCCTGCGCATCCCAACAATGCTATTTGGTTAATAAACTTACAAGCTAATTGATATCTCCTAGCCATTTTTTCTGTGGGGTTTATTTTGCAACATTGCCAGTCAGTTACAGGAACTGAAGGAAATTATTTATTTGAGAAGTGTCCCGAAGTGTTACTATTGTGGGAATGTATTTATGGTTGAATGGCTCAGAACACAAACTCAGTCACTGAGTACCTTTTGATACTGATGTACCTTGAAGGGCAGTTTGCATCCGTGACTTTTGCAGATCGTGTATCATTTTACTGATCACCATAAGTAAAACCAGACAAAACACTGTCACCAAAAAATTCAGTTGGATGTTATGAAGAAGCGAAAGTCAATTAATGAACTGTAACATTAAATAAATGGATCTTTTCTGGTCATAAAAAGAATGTAAATAATTAGTCCTCATCCATCAGAGTTTTAGCAGGAGAGATTTCTTTTCAAAGATAAGTTGGTTTTTGTCTAAATACATCCTAAAATACATCCACAAAATGATGTTGAGTTTACCGACAGCTTCAGAACGACTCCCACTCGGGAAGAAGAGCAGTAATTTGGGCCACCCGGGTTGTATAACTTTCCCCAGAGTTACCAAGGTCATACTCACAACGTTGTGTACAGTATCTCTGGGGTTTTCCTTCTTTTCTTCTGAAAGAAGTCTTTAAGTTTCTTAGGGAAAGAAAAAACCTTATCTGTTCTTTTCATGGCACTAAGTAGCTTGTTGCTTTATTTTTGTTCTCAGATGTTGACCATTTTACTTTATTGCAAGAAACAGTAAGGAAATGCCACCCTTTTGTTTTCAGCAGTGAAAGGGAGGAGGAAGGAATTCAGCAGCAGGACAGCAGGGGTGGCAGGTCAGCGCTGGCCCCCGGTGCCTCAGGATGCTCTTGGCTCAGAACCCCTCTTTACATGCTCTGCTAAGATGAATTTAAAGGACATTTTTTAGGACCTTGTAACAGGTGCTTCCAAGCAGGTCCATAAGTCTGTTTCTGGGGAATGAGAAGTTTATTTCTGCAGGTTACCACAGGAAAGTGATTTCCAGGCGAAAATACTATTCTTTTAAAAAATATTTATTCGTGGCCAGGTAGAGGAAAGAATGTACTGCAACTCCCAGTGGCTGCCTTTGGAAACTTCCTCCTTCTTCTGTTCTTGCCCTGCACAGTACCTCTATCAGCACTTGATGTGTCCTCTCCACAGGTCCCCAGGAGACAGACAGATGCAGTTAAACTTTTATAAACCAATTGGCAAAGGTTAAGAAGGCTAAGCCAGGCTTGCTGTTGCATCTTGGTCAAGAGTATTGCTTTTCCTATAGATCAGCTGCTATGAAAAGAAACACCTGGGTTTTCCAACGACTGAGATTTATTTTTTTTTCACTTTTTCATTTTTCCTTTCCTGTGGTCTTCACCAGCAGTATCTGAACGCCCTGATATGCAGCATTTACCTCATAGGAGAACCATCACTGTCCACTGGGATGCTCTTATTACAGCCTTCCCAACCTCCCCTGGCATTTTACAGCTTGAATTCTGCTCATCCAGTCTGACCACAGATTTAAATAGGAGCAGAAGTAATGACATCAAAAGGCATCCTTACACTTGTGGCAGCCAGTCCATCGCTTTAACATGACAAGCTTTACCAAATCAATTTTTCAAAAGGGTGTGGGATCAGAGCTTTTAACCTCTGGCACACAGATTCTGAAGACTAAGTTGACTATGAACCACAAAGTTCACTAAAACTGAATGACAGCAAGCTTGTACTTACTGTATGTGCCGTCCCAGGAAAATAATTAATAAAACTCAAATGAAAATAAAAACTGAAAACTGCTGGTGCAAAATAATATTTCCATGTTTGCTTTAGATCTACTGATCTGACTGGAAACTTGCTGCACTTGGGGCCTTTTGAAAAAGAAGTAAAGAGCAAAAATTTTGCTATTTGATCATTATTTCTATGCTTTCTCTCTTTCCCTCAGCATTTTCTGAGCAAGAGTCTGCTGCCCCATGGCATTTTTTCAAGTGTTTTGTTCATAAGTGTCTCAGGTCATTGTAGACCCATAATCAGTCATTAAAAATGTTTTCAGAAGAGTGTTTATTGGTGATATTAGTCTGAAACATGTAGGAGCTTCCCAGAGGGTTACCTGGGATCACCCTTAGTGTGTGGCTCCTGAAGGAAGGTCAGCTCTCACCCTCCAGCCCAGGGGACAGCACCATGTGCTCTTGGATGTGTGGGGAAAAGGCAAAGCTGCAGAAGCCCTGGAGGAGCATTGTGCTCTCCTCCTGCAGATCCACCAGCTCTTGGGAAGCCTTCACCTTGCACAGGCTGCTTCTGCACTTGGGAAGGCAAGGACAGGGACTGGAAAAGTAACAAAAGTCGCCTCCTAAAGGTAATCAGAAAATTAAAATCGATATTGTAATTTTCGGACAACAGTGAAAGAGATGTTCCACTTTTTGCAGAGATGGCCACAGAGCTGTTGTCTAATGTGATGCCCAGAAGACTCATAGCTTTAATTTAGACTTCATTTGCCCTCCAGGAAATGAGTGGGATTACAATTCTGTAATTGTTGGTCAGCATGCAGCTTAAGTTTCTATGCTTCACCGGCCACTGAGCATTGGTTATTATTACAGCTTGTCGTACTTCCATTCCTCTGGGAAAATCTCACAGATCAATAAGTTGGTGTCATAAAAGCAGGATTCCCTGGATATCAGTAAGGATCTCTTCCCAATCCGTGGAACCAGCTATATCACAGTTCACTTCTGGAGAACGACAGCATTTTCACTTTAGCTGTGCAGAGAATTTTCAGTCTTTGTGCTAGAGCACTGCTAATTGTTTGCACAGTTAATTAAAGTATGGGTGAGGTGTTCAGTTAAATATCCATGTGTAATGCATATATTGACTGTTTCAAGGTGAATACTTTTCTAAATCATGAGCTATTGAATGTTGACTCACTGTGGTACATTTTCTCTAATTGGCTTGAAGCTCCTCTCTATTGCCTGTTATGATAGAAGGTGTTTTTACCCCCCCGCTAAAACATTACTGTCTCTAAATATGAACATTAGCAGGTGTGCTGTGAATCACTGTGCAGGGAGGAGACTGTTCTGGGTACATATTTGGGTTGGTAATTGGTTGTGGTGCACCTTCTCTCTGCACCAGAGCAGGGGGTGAAGCCTGCCTGTCTCTCAGTCACGTTGTGGAAGTACAGCACTGGGTCTGTCTCTCTCTTGAGCTCCAGGTGGTTCTTCCACTACCCTGACTATGTAAGCAAAGGCTTTAGAAAGGTGTTTTGTTTTTTTTTTTTTTTCCCGGATAAAACAACAACCAAATTATACAATTATACAATCTTTTGGTAAACCTCTGCAAGATTCCTCAGTGTGCAGCAGTAGTCATGAGGTTCAATAAGTTATCCTGGCTTCATGGGATGTGATAAATGTACAGTGATTCCTCAACACGTGCAAAACTTGTCATTCCATCCAAAGCCACCATTCAAAATACCCTGCATATCATAACATGCATCCAGAGAGGGATTGATGAGGAAAACTAGCCCGCAGATGATATGTCCTAAGTCAACATAAGTTCAGAAAGAATTATGTATTTGTAGAAATTAATTCAATTCTGTAGCTTAGTAAATCTCTTGATACTCCGGGCCATGGCTTGAGCTACAGATTTAAAATGAAGTCAGGGAATTTTTTGGTCCATTCTGGATGTCTGTGTATTTCTGTGTGGCTCTGCATTGGTCAGCATCAGGCATAGGATGATAAATGGGAAACAGATTTTTAGCTGAAACAATTAAAAAAGAGACCTTTAGCTTTGAGGGATTTTATCTTAAGTTGTAATAAGAGAAGTAGTGAGAGTCAAACCACAACAGCAATTCAAGAGACATAATTCTATGAAAAGTGATTCCGCTTTATTTCGATGGCTTTTTTTTTTATCCACCAGCATGAAAAAAGTTTTCATCTGTGGATTTAAGTAGCATTTAGAGCATTTAAACCTATCTATTAAACGATAATTGCTGCATTCAAAATTCATGCTCCCTTCAGCACACATTAGCAATACAAAGAGAAAGAAAAGTGTTTTTTTGAAAAGAACAGACACTGCTGGGTACTGCTCGACTGAGGTGGAGCAGATGGCAGAATCTGTTACTGAGGTGTTGAGTGCAGGGGAAAGCAAAACATTCTCCATGGTTTCCCAGTGCCTATTTTAATAAGAAACTGAACTCCTGCTCTCATGAAAGCAATGCTGGAGTTACACAGAGAGAAAAGCAGAAGTCTCTGTCTCTGCATTCCTTGTTTGTCCTAGAACTCGAAGT